TTGTAAATTGTGCCAGACCAAATTGGAAGCTATAAATCTAAATCTGCTTAAATTCAGATAAAAATCTATTGTATTTACAAACTTTCAATTGCCTGCTTTTCATCTGCGTTTGATCTATCATTTACTAAAGATAATGATCATAACTCAATAAACAAGAAGCTGCTGGTTTCCCCATTCTTGGTGTACAGAAGAAGTTGAACAACAACATGAAGTAACCGAGAGGAGCAATGCTTTGTGAATATCTCCAGCAGCTGCACCTTTCTTGATTAGCGAAACGATGTAGTCCAGGAAAGCTGAATCACATGGTAATGTAATAGGGCCTCCACTTGGCAGCCCGAACTCTTCCTCAGACATGTTTAAAAGTTGCAAGATAACCTCATTTTCCAGATAAGCCAATGGAATCACAAAGCGCCTTTGATCAGTTGTATAAACTACAAACTGGCCTTTTCCGACTATAAAGGATGAAGATGTACATCATCATTTCTTGGAAGTGAAATCCTTTTCTTTTGCATGGCTGCAAACTTTTGCCATTTCCTTGCTATCTTGATGAGTTTCTTAGCACTAAGCATCGTTCTTTTCTACGGAAGATTGGAACACAAGAAAGTAAAGTAGAAATCTAGAGACCTTTGATAGATGAGTAGATAATACTTGTGGTTGTTGATGAAAAGGATCATGGAAGGGGTATTATTTATACAAGAGGCTGAAAACAAGATTTGAGTTGGATCTGATGTTTTTTCCACTAACCACTGGATTGGACAAAACCATGTGTTGATGCCTGTTGGCCATGTTGATATGGGGCCTTAAATTTATGGATGAAGCTAATTTGAATTCATGTAAGATGATAAGTTTCTTCCTTTCCACTGTGGTTGACACCAGAATGGACATATTAGTTCTGATATCAACTCATATTTAAGTCTTCTCATATGTGCCAAAAGTTAGAGACCTTTAAATGAAGATTTGATTTTTCAGTGGTAGATTATGTTTTGCTGGTGAAAAGCAAAACCATGTGTTGCTGCCTTCTTGGTCATGTAGATAGGTAACATTTTAATTGTGACAATGGCTGGTTGTGCTATAAAAACCACAAAAAAGGATTAAGTTTGTTCTGGTTCTACTTTTCTTTTGCCAATATCTTTTGGATACATTCCAGAGCCAGCTGCTGGTTAGCTTAATGATAAAGCAAAAGCGAGTGTTTGTTCTAAATAAGCAACTTAGTCCAACTTACTAAGACCACTTGATTTTGTTAGGTGGGTTTTCTGTCAATGGGTCCAGTAATGGTTTATTTACATTAGAGTTATGAGCTCATTTGGAATTGCACATGCAATGTCTTGGTATAAATTGTGACAATAAACATCTTTGCGATGAAACTTACTGGAATCTGCAGCTTCATTTTCAAATCTATGATTGGTCAAATATGTTAAAGGGGATCACTTTTATGATTTAACTAATTGTGTGGGAATGATTCATACATCTGCTAGTTTTAATCCACAATGTTGACTACTGGCATAAAAAAATAAGGTCCTTGTAAATTATACCAGGTCCAAGATGAGAATGCTATAAGTTCAACTGAATCGAAAGTTTGAGATCTATAAATCTGTTTAAATTTCAGATAAAATGGTATTCCATCTACAATACACAGTTTCAATTGCCTACTTTTCACCTTCTATACAATCTATTTTGAGCTATCATTCGCTAAAATATAACTTAATTAACAAGAAGCTGTTGATTTCTCCATTCTTGTTGCAAAGAAGAAGTTGAACAACAAGATGAAGTAACTGAGAGGAGCAATGCTTTGTGAAGAACTCCAGCAGTTGCACCTTTCTTTATTAGTGAAATAATGTAGTCCATGAAGGCTGAATCACAAGGTAATGTACTACGACCTCCACTTGGCAGCCCGAACTCGTCTCAGACATGTTTAAAAGTTGCAAAATGACCTCATTTTCTAGATAAGCCAATTGAATTACAAAGCGCCTTTGATCAGTTGTATACACTACAAACTGGCCTTTTCTGCCTATAAAGGATGAAGATGTACTACAACTGTCTGCATCATTGCCTTTTCTTGGAAGTGAAATCCTCTTCCTCTGCATGGCTGCAAACTTTTGCCATCTCCTTGCCATCTTGATGAGTTTCTTAGCACTGAGCATTATTCGTTAATTTCTCTGGAAGATTGGAAACACGAAAGTAAAGTAGATACTTGGAGACCTTTGATAGCTGAATAGATAATGTTTGTAGTTGATGATGAAAAGGCTCATGGAAGGGGAACTATTTATACAAGAGGCTGGAGACAAGATTTGAGTTGGACCTGATGTTCTCGCCACTAACCACCGAAAGAAAAGCCATGTGCGCCTCTTGGCCAGGTTGAAATGGGGCCTTAATTTATGGATGATAAGTTTTTTCCTTTCCTCACTATGCTCTTCAACAGAATGCTGATAGTTTGAGACCTTTAAATGAAGAATTGATTTTAGAAATGACAAATTATGTTTTGCTGGTGAAAGACAAAACCATGTGGTACTTCCTTCTTGGTCATGTTAGATAGGAACTTTTAAATATGACCATTGCTATGTATGCAAAAAACTACCACA